ATCACTTGTATACAGATAGCACTGAACAATGAACACATATTTGTTGGTCTTTTCTCCCCAACTAGATTATTAGTTCTTAATAGGAACAGAACCTTTGACTTGAGCACCCTCAATGATAACTGATAACAGATTGGCCACATAATTGGCAATCAAATTATTTTTGGTTGATTGGCTAGTCTTTTCTTAAAAGTCACATTTGGCTGTATGATCTCATTGCTTTTTTAAACAAATAGAATGTGTGGAAACTTGGATTTATTTTTAACAAGAAAAAGAGTGGTGATTTACTTTCAAATAAAATATAAGATTCTTATTAATTGTAACTCTCCACGATAAAATTTAAAATAAATAAGTAAATGAAATTGTACAGAAATGTGTTGATTGCAAAAGTAAAATATGGTCGTATACTGATTGATTGTTATTTTTTTTCATCTTCAGCTCTCTAGTGATCTTTAAAAATATCAATGTGTCACAGGGCACCTGGGTGGCTCCGTCGACTAAGTGTCTGAGTCTTGATTTAGGCTCAGGTCATGATCTTTCGTTGGTTGAGTTCAAGCCCCACATCGGGCTCTGCGCTGGCAGCGTGGAGCCTGCTTGGGATTCTCTGTCTCTCTCTCTCTGTCCCTCCCCAGCTTGTGCTCTCTCTCTTTCTCTCTTAAAATAAATAAACGTGAAAAAAAATAATAGATAGATAGATAGATAGATAGATAGATAAATCTATGCGTTGAGGCACCTAGGTGGCTCAGTTCGTTGAGCAACCGACTCTCGATTTCAGCTCAGGTCATGATCCCAGGGTTATGGGTCCCACGTTGGGCTCTGCACTAAGTGTAGACAAGCCTGCTTAAGATTCTCTCTCTCTTCCTCTGCACCTGTTACCCACTCGTGCTCTCTCTCTCTCTTTAAAAAAAAAAATCTATGTGCTGCTTTATAATTCCATTAGTTTACTACCCCACCCTTGATTCCGATTTATATATCACTGTAATCTTAGTATTTACCTTATTTAAAACCTCCATCTTATTTAATTTTCATTTTTAATTTTTATCCCTGTGTTAAGGATACATAAGAGTGCACGGGTCACAGCGTACAACCCAACAAATCTTCATAAAGTACACCCCCTCCCCATCATCTGATGCACGGACAGAAAAAGGACATCACCAGCATCCCAGACGCCCCCACCTTTCCTCTCCAAGGTCTGCCCCCTCCCCACTTCTCAGGCCGTAGAGTAATTTTGCTTGCTTTTGAACTCATTTTATTTTAAATGAATCCTTACTAGTGGCCAACTTTTAAAAGATTCAGATTTCTACATACTCCCACCCCCCTCCCGAAAAAAATTCCTGGGGGATATATTTTCTTTCCTCTCTTTAAAAGATGAATTTAATGATGCAGTTCATTATCCCAATAATGTCATGTTCATAATTAAATCCACTTTTCTCTGACTTGCTAATAAGCTTCCTATGTTTCTTTCCTCTCCGATCCTTTCAGAAAAGCCTTAAAAGTTCCTCTACCCCTTCTGCCCACACATTCCTTCCAGGGACTACTGTCCTTTCCTGTCCCTTGCAGTTCTCGGGCTTGCTCTAGTCTGAATCTACCCTCTTTCATATTCTCAGACAGAGATCATTTTATAGCTTTCAAGATGAAACCCTCTATTTTCCTTTGTGAGTCCACAGTACAGCTGTACTCTTCCTTTCTTAAAAAAAAAAAAAATCCCATATGTATTAATTATAGAGTGTTGCTTAAATTTCTAAAGATTCCTGGGGCACTTTTAAGCATCTAATAATTCTCGTTTCACTTGGCCGATTAACTTTATTCTTAAAATTTTAAATCTGGAATTAGGCTTTATGCTGTTTGGGGCTACGCGTTCACCACATTTTACCAGGCCAAATTCAAGTGGTCACGGGGGCCTCATCCTTATCCACTTCCCTCCCCTTTGTTCGAGGCAGATTGAGACTGCGGCTGGGGCTCTGTTCTCTGCTTCTAACATCAATGCTTCTCTCTCTGACCAAAGAACCATTTGGATGATGGATATATCATGTGCTTGTTTCCCAGAAGATGACTAGAATAACTCTCCCCAAGGAAATATTTTGAGCACTTGAAGGAATTTGAAGAATTGAAAATTCCAAGTACATCTCATATTCTTGATACACTTGAACTCTAGGGACACAGAATGTTATGGAGGATAAAGCTCTTGACTAGAAGACAGGAAATGTGTTCTTATCTTGGGGAGGCAGCTAACCACCTATAGGGAGGCCGGGTCTTGACATTTTCTTCCTGTGTGGTATTGTGCTACAGGGATCCTCCGTGGATGTGACAAGGGAAGTACCCAGTCCCTCTGGGGGCACAAAAGAATCTGTAAGGGTGCATATTTTCATGATCCCAAATATAAGAGCAATGAGTCAAAATCTGGGGTTATAGAGATACATGGAGGCTTCACTGAAAAAGCATCATGGGAGAACATAGATTTAAAAATGTTGAAAACACTGAGCAAGAATAACCTCAGATTACTAAGAATCTGATATTTATGAAGAAGATCTTTAGGTTCCTTTCATTTCTGGAATTTTTGGTCGCATCAGTCATTCTCTTTTCCAGTGCCCTGCCCTCTGTGGAATTCTCTATAAATTATGCAGTCCCCACCCAGGGTTTCTGGGCTTTTACTCCTTCGGATTTCCTAATGAAAATAAATAATTCCTTCTATTCAGTAAGAAATGTAATAAAAAACCCAAGGACCAAGTCCTCTGAGCAAGAAGTTTTCTCACTGACCCTCTGCTGATGTTCCTACAGCTTGGTTTTACCAGGATTTGGATGCTGGAGAGAACACGGACTGAAAGCTCAGATCTGAGTCTTTTTGGTCCTGTGGGGTGCACTAACTGTGTGGATGGAGGACGTGCCATTTCATCTCACTGGTCTCCATCCTTGAACAAAGAGTCACCATCTTGCTTCTTATATAATGTAGAACCAGCCTAGAGTCAGCTCTGGGATGAGGTTTTTTATTGCAGGGAGACCAGGAGACTCAGGCTCTCAGTTGGCCCAAAGAACCTTCCAACTAGAGTAGCGTTTTTCCTTCAAATAGATCCAGATTGGGGTGAGGGGCAGGAGCCCCCAGAGAAAACCCCTCAAGGAAGAACCAGAAGAGAAGAGTAGAACTCTGGGGACCAGGGGCCTTGAACAAGATGAGTCCCATTCCCATCTCAGACCTGCTGGGATATCAAAAAGGAGACTGGGGTGAACAGAACTTGCCGGCAGTCGCCTGGTGGTGGGGGCACATGGGAAACAAACTATGGGGTCTCATTATTACCCTCATAGGAGTAATCAGGGAGGAAGGGAAGCAGGAGGAAAGAAGAGTAGGTCAGAGGACTATTGGGAAGAAGTTTGAAGATGATCACGATGGAAACTTTTTTGAATAGTGTTTTAAAACATTAAATGACACCATATCATTTATGTGTTCTTTATCATTTGGCCTCATGAACAATGGATCTATAAGAATGAAAATCCAAAGACTGACCGGCAGCCGGCAGCCTCCCAGTGAATTTTTCCTGTCTCTGCACCCTGAATGCAAGGTTCTGGAGCCCTGCGGAAAAGGGACTGGGGATGGAGGTCAGCTCCACGCTAGCAGAAGGCCTTTTCCTGTACAAGTTTGCTTGCGTTGGCATGGAAAAAGGAAACTTACAAGCACAACTGTACAGGAGTAACTTGCGTGAATAGTGAGTGACTGGAACGCAGGGAGCCAAAAGCAGGTTAAGCTCTCTTACGGTCACGCACAGGCACGTGCGCGCGCACGCAAACACACACACGCACACACGCACGCACACGCGGGAAAGAAAACACCTGAGAAATGGACCATACTTCCCCTAATGACTGCCGGGGACTGACCGTGGACTCCTTCCAGCAAATGGCAGGATGAGCAATGAGGTTCTTCCTCGGGCTTGGAAGCATTTTGGTCAAAGGAATGGAAGGGCTGAGCCTGTTGCGCTGACTCCCACAGGAAGTGGTGGGCCGAGAGCGCAGCTACAGGCTTTCCTGTGCGGCGTAAATTGGCCCAGTTTGCGCAAAACATTCTTATCTGATGAAGGACTGGAAGTGTGAGTGCGTGCTCGAATGTTGGAAATACTGCCGGGTCTCTGCTTCGCTGCTCCCTTGGTTTTCTTTCTCTGCTGTCCCTTCTTTGTCTTTGGCCATCACGCTGCGCTCCTGGTGCTTTTCTAGCTTCTCACATGGTTTTGATTAGGAAGGACAAATGTAACCGAGAACAGAAATGCTCCTAGTTTTTCTCATGTTCTTTCAGATGAATGTGCTTAAGTGTTAATCTTAAGTGTTGTAGGCTTGGGGATCAGGAATGTGTATGTATGTAGACACATACATATCTCAACCTAAAAGGGTCCCATTTTTATCCTCGCTGTCTTGGAAAAAGAAGTATTAATATGGCACAACCAAACGAGGCTTGGCTAAAAACTATTCTTGGGGCACTTGGGTGGCTCAGTCGGTTAAATGTCTGACTTTGGCTCAGGTCATGATCTCACGGTTTATGCATTTGAGCCCTGAGTCAGGCTCTGTGCTGACAGCTCAGAGCCTGGAGCCTGCTTCAGATTCTGTGTCTCCTTCTCTCTCTCTGTGCCCCTTGCCCCCGCCCCCCCCCCCCCATCTCTCTCCCTCTCTCTCAAAAATAAAATCAACATTTAAAAAAACGACTCATAAACTGAACTGGCAATCAGATGTTTTGATTTTCAGTCCTGGCTCAGCATCTAGGTAGCTGTGTGGCCTTGGAGAATTTATCTGAAGTTCCTGGTGTTGGTTTTGTCCTCTCTAAACATGACAGGGTTGGATTAGGTACTCTTCCAGGTGCCTCCCCGGAGATTTTGATTATCTGTGTCAGGTGCATTGGTACTAACTTCATGAGATAAGCCAAAATGAGACTCCTTACCTACGCAGGAAAATGAAGGGGGAAAAAAATCCAAGTCCTTGTATTTGTTTCCCTGATGAAATTAAAAATGATCAGAAAATAAAGTCCATTGCAATTTATCCACACCACTTTATTAATGACCTAGATGTAGCAGGAGCACAGAATTCAGAGCTATGCACAATCCCAGACATCTAGAAAGCATACAGTAAATGTTTCCTGGAGGATATCCTGCTCGAGGTGCCGACAAAGTGGCATAACCCAGCGGCGAGAGCCCCAAATTTATAAAACTGAGCCTCAAGTCTCTGCCCCCCCACCTACCCGTCGTTGCATGCTTTAGAACTAGCCATTGGCCTTCTCCAAGCCTCGGTTTCCTCAACTGCAAAATGGGACAAACATTGGCAGTTCAGATTTGGGGGGAGAAACAAATGATATAACGTGTAGGAAAATGATTAACAGTGTATAGAATACTTGGAAATATTGTGGCACCTAATCAAAGGTATGTTACATAGGCCTTAGGCCGTAAGTTAAGGAAGTCGGTCTCTGTGGTCTATGATGTGCCTTCCAGCTTTGAACATCCTTTACTCCGTGACTTGGCGGGGCTTCTGTCCCAGGCTGCAGATGTAACTGACACCTGCTGTGTCTGGAAGTTTGGAGAGAGAGGCTGGGAGGTTCCTGTAACTTCACCCCTGGACCTGCCTTGCATGATGTGGCTCCTCCTTCAGAGACATCAATGGGCCTATCGATTCATCTTGTTAACCTTTAACTGCTGCTAAGACATTCCACCCTGGGGCTCCCTGTGCTGTTATCATCAAAAACACTCTAGACCCAAAAGGCAAGCCGCTTGCCCTTACATCAGTGTTTATGCTTGTAATCTAAAGGAGGAGAAAAACATGTCCGTAGTCGGTAGGAAAAGAGGTCAAGTAATGTACTTTTCCGCTTCAATTGAGTATTTCTTGCTTTGGTTTTCCCATTTACTGAAAATGAGTGAATGGCTAGTAGGAATATCCTAAACTCACAATGAAGTGGTTGTGAGAAATGATTGTTGTAAGAGTCACCTGAAAATCTAAGCTACATATTGTGAAAGTGGGTTTATTGTTGTGAAGTGTAAGGGAAGTGTCTTTACCAGAAGGATGTGGGCTCACAGCTCTCTCACCTTCGGAAGACCTGGGCTCTCCTCCAGCCCGGCTGTCAAGACACCTCGGAGTGCTCCCTGGACTGTGAGCGTTCCCACGGAGCAGGTTGTTGCACAGAAGGTGTGAAAGAGGGCAATTCTCCAGGCTTTAAGAAATGAAGAATAAAAGCTCAGAGGAATTGATCAAGGAACAAAAACCTCAGTTTTACGATGAAAACATCCTTCGAGGTTTGTGATACTCATTTTTGTATTTTGGGATCAGTTTTTACTCACTGTTCTCTCTCGCTTATCCCAAAATGACTGTCAATGTGATTATTCATCACCCATGCGTCTGCATATCACCAGTGTGGCAAGGGGTGTCTTTGCTATTTTTAGACACGATGGTTATACAAGCAAAAAGGGCACATTCCTCTTCCATTCTGCGGAATGCCGGCCACCCCCTGGCATGGGGACCGTTCTGAAGCAGCCTTTTCCTTCTGGCTATACAAAGGCTTTCTTTGACAGGGGAGTGTGCAGTGGGTTGAGGGAAAGTGGAGAATAAAGGAAAGATATTTCCAGATTTGAACTTGAACAAAAGTTACTGCTGACAGCCGAGTTCACTAATGGTCAGAACTGAGAAACGCAGGCAGCCATGGCATGACTGGGGGCTGGGGACCAGCACTCTCTGCAGGCAGGGACAACGTCTCTGACCGCTCACAAGGGTGGGACGTAGTTTGAAAAAATCCCAGAGGGCAGAAGTGATCTTTGGGGATTTGCCAGCCTTTGGTTTAAAGGCTTAGTAAATATTTTGGCAGGGAAGGGATCATAACACGGGGTTCTAATTAGCACGAGCGAGCTTTTCCCTCACCCTTGTTGCTGGTGATCAGGGATACCTGGCTTTGGGGGCTCCCTGCTAACCCGCTGCCTCCCCTTACCTTCCCGTCCCACCCCACCCCCCGCCCCCCGCCCTCAGAAGTTATCTGAAGAACCTGAACTACCTCAACCTGGAGGCAGGGCTGAAAAGAGGTCACCGATGCCTTTGCCCGTGACCTACTTGCACCCTCGACCTTCAGAGATGAGAACCCGATAGGCCGCCCACACCCAGTGGCCTAGGATTCACTGGGCTGTCATTTTGGCTGGGAGACAGGACAGCTTCTGGCAAACTTAATAAGCAGATTTTCTCAGTGATAGGAAAATTCTTGCTTAATGCAGGCAGCTCTATTTCCCGTGGTTAAAGTATTCAACCTACAGAAGATAGCAGAAGTCACCTGACCTGGCGTGAAATACAAACGAACGTGGTCTCGATCTTTAGTTTCCCCCTCCCACCTTTTTTAAAGCTTCCATTTTCTTCTGGGAGGTGGGCTTTATCTTTACTAGGCCGGGCTCACGTAAGATAAGTTGGAATTAGGGAACTGGTATAATACTTAACCTGCTTCTAGACAGCAGCCAGCATCAGCATCAAGCAGAGCACTGAAGTGCTTTAATCGCTTGAACAACACTGAGTGCTTCTCCTGTTACTGTCACTCTTACGATCTCTATGCATGTCACCAGTAGCAGAGAAGGGACGTCGTCAAACTCTCAGAGGGCAGAGGGCAGAGGGCAGTAAACGGAACCTAAGTAAAAACTAGTTCACACGCTAGCATCTGCTCCCCAGACGTCTCCAATCTCGAAGTCTGAGGAAAACCCAGGCTGCCGGGCTAAGCGAATGCCCCTTCACCTCCGACTGTCACAAAAATCGGATCCTTCCGCTCTTCTACTCTCTTCCACTTCCCAGTCTGGAAATGTCACTTACAGAGGGGGGACTCCCGGGGCGCCTGGGTGGCTCAGTCGGTTGAGCGTCCGACTTCGGCTCAGGTCATGATCTCAAAGTTCGTGAGTTCGAGCCCCGCGTCGGGCTCTGTGCAGACAGCTCGGAGCCTGGAGCCTGCTTCGGATTCTGTGTCTCCCTTTCTCTCTCTGCCCCTGCCCAGCTTGCACTCTGTCTTTCCCTCGCTCAAAAATAAATAAACATTAAATCTTTTTTTTGTTTTGTTTTGTTTACAAAGAGGGTCTCCTGGCCCAACAGGTACACTGCCTCCCCAGCCACTGTGGTGCTAAAAGGTAACAGGTTGGAAAGTGATTGTCAAAGTTTAAGATGCACAAAGTCTGAAGTCTGCAGAAGCGTATTTTTCAGTTTTGCTACAAAAGGGATAAATCTCAAAAGAGCTCTTTTCTTGTAACAGTCCAAGTAAACAAATGTCGCAGGCATTTTTACAATTTAGCAAGTCTGCATTTCATCAATTTGCTGGGAAATTAAACAATATACCTATTAAAACTCATTAAAAAAAACTGGAAACTCTAATTCTGACTTTTATTTATAACTCAAGTTCAGTGAGTTGGCACCAATGTTTTAGAGAGACAGAGTATGACTCTGAGTCAAGACCAAATTGATCCCAGCTTTCTCAATTTGCGAACTTCCTTTTTGTTTTCTGTTGCTTCTACAGCCGCTGTGATGCTGTTCCATTATGAGGCGGCTGGTCCCATATGAACCATTCCTGCCCCGGACAGACTAGGAAAGGGAAGCGATAACATCCAGCCGTCCGAAATCAGTCTTGGAGTGAATTGGGCCGGGCCCCCGTTTCGGCAACGAATGTTAACACGCGATCAAAATCGTCGCACTTTGTTACCAGTGGGGATGGGGACAGTCATGAAGAGCCCAAAGGCCATTTTACTAAGCCCATCAGCTGGGTAGTGACTTTTGCAAATCAGCTCTTGGTACCTTCATTTTGATCCTCCTTAGATGCAGAAGCAAAAACCACAAACCACAGTAGAAATGCTTTACGCTTTGTAACATGAGAAGCTAGAACATACATACTGACTCTACTCCTTACTGTAAATATATGATTTTGACAAATTACTTCAGTTTTTGAAGAACAAACCTCAGTTTCTTTCTATGTAAGAGGGATGCAATAATATCATATTACATATGTTAGGGTGTTGCCTTGGGGATTCAAAACATTATTAAATGCCTAATGTAGAGCTTCGCACATAGCACATCCCAAAGAAAGCGAGCCGCCATTGTTACTTTGTCAAGTGTTTTTTCTGTCTCAGATGAGATGATCGTGTGGGCAGTTTTTCCTTCGTTTTGTTGATGCGGTGTCCTACAGTGATTCATTCTTGTGCGTAGAATCATCCTTGCCTTCCAGGAGTAAAACCCACTTGGCCATGGCGTATAGTCTTTTAACATACTACTGTTGAGTTCAGTTTCCTAGTATTTTGTTGAGTATTTTTGCATCCATCTTTATAAAAGGATATTGATTCTATAGTTTCTTTTCTTGTAACCTCTTTGCTGGGTCTGCTGTCAGGGTAATGATGGCTTGATAGCATGAATTAGGAAATGGTATCGCCTTCAATTTTGGGGAAGAGTTGAAAATTCGTGTTATTTATTTATTTATTTTTAATGTTGGCAGTCTTCTTCGGTGAAAGCATCTAGCCCATGACTTCTCTTTGTTGGGAGGCTTTGAATATCGATTCGTCTCCTTAGGAGTTGTAAATCTATTCATATTTTCTATTTGGTAGATTCAGTTTGGGTAGATGTGCATTTCTAGGAATTTGTCCATTTTGTTCAGTTTATCCAGTTTGTTGGCATACAGATGTTCATAACATTCTCTTTGATGTCTGCTTTTAGTTATCGGAGTCTTTGCTCTTTTTCCTTCACTTATCTAGCTACAGGTTTGTCAGTGTTGTTGATTGTTGCAAAGAACCAATTTCGGTTTTACTGTTTTTTTCTATATTGTTTTTCTATTCTCTATTTTGCTCTGCTTCAATTTTGCTTCCTTCCCTCCTTTTGTTAGCTTTGGGTTTAGTTTGCTTTCTCTTTTTCTAGTTCCATAAAGAGTAAGTCTAGGTTACTGATCTGAGATGTTTCTCTTTTTTAAATGCAGGCATTTAAGCTACAACTGTCCCTCTTAGCACTGCTTGTCTGTATCCCATCAGTTTTTGTGTGCTGTGTTTTTAGTTTCCTTTCTATTTGTCTCCAGGTATTTTCTAATCTCCCCGTGATTTCTTCTTTGATTCATTGGTTACTTAAGAGTATGTTGTTTAATTTCTGCATATTTGTGGGTTTTCCGGTTTTCCTTCTGTTACTGATTCCTGGTTTCATTCCACTGTGATCAGAAAAGAAACTTCATATGATTTCAATCTTCTACAATGCATTTACGATTTGTTTTGTGGTCTAACACACAGTCTACTCTGGGGAGTGTTTCACGTCCGATTGAGAAAACTGTGTATTCTGCTGTTGTTGGGTAGAGTGTTTTGTATATGTCTGATAGATCCAGTCGGTCTGTAGTGCTGTTCAAGTCCACAGTCGCCTTTTTGATCTTTCTGGCTGGTTGTTCTGGTCATCTTTGAAAGTCTCCTACTATTATCTTAGAGCTGTTCCCCTTTAAATTCTGCTAATGTTGCTTGATATATTTTAGAGCTCTGATAATATGTATATCATATATTTTTATAATTTTGATCTCTTCTTGGTGAAGTGACTCTTTCATCGATATATACCCTTGTCTCTTGTAATATTTTTTTTACTCAAAGTCTGTCTGGTTAATATTAGGATAGCCACCTCAGCTCTCTTTTGGTTACTAATTGCGTGTACGATCTTTTGCGTCATTTAACTTCCACCCTAAATCTGAATTTAGAGCTAAAGTAAGTCTCATGTCCACAGCATATTGTTCAGTTTTTAAAAATCTATCCTGCCAACCAGTGCCTTTTGATTGGAGTGTTTAGTCCATTTGCGTTTGAAGTAATCATTGCTAAGGAAGGACCTTCTTTTGCCACTTTGTTGTTTTCTGTATGTCTTATATCATTTTCTGTCCCTTATGTCCCCCATTACTGCCTCTTTTTGTGTTTACTTTTTGTAGTGATATGTTTTGATTCCCTTTTCATTTCCTTCCATGTATATTCTATAGATGTTCTCTTTATTATTACCATGGTGATTACATATAATCTTTTAAAGTTATAACAATCTAATTTGACTTGAAACAAACTTAATTTCAGTTGCATAAAAAACCCTTCTCCTATAATAGTTCCATCACTCTTGTGTTGTTGATGTCACAAATTACATCTTTACACATTATATACCCGTTTACATAGATTTATAATTATGTTCTATGCATTTGTCTCACACACCCTGAAGTAGAGTTAAATTCAAAGTAGAGTTAAATCCAAAATTATAGAGGATTAAAAATTTTTCAGTCTCACCCTTTGATTTCAGGAAAGGGAAATGGGCTGGAGGTCGAATGAATGTCCAATGATTTCGTCAATCATGCCTATGTAAATGAAGCCTCCATAAAAACCCAAAGGATGGATTCAGAGAACTTCTGGGTTAGTGACGTTGTGGAGGTGTCTAGAGAGGATGGAATGGGTCCTATGCATCTTCCATCTGGCTGTTCTTGAGTTTTACCTTTTTATAATAAACCAGTAATCTAGAAAGTAAAATGTGTCTCTAAGTTCTTTTAGCCACAGTAACAACTTAATGAAACCCAAGGAGGGGATCATGGGAACATCTGATCTCTAGCCAGTCCATCAGAAGCATAGGTGACAACCTGGACTTGGGAATGACAGCTGAAGTAGGGGAGTCAAAAGGGGGGCAGTTTTGCAGGACTGAGCCTTTAACATATTGGACCTGACAGTCTTAGAATTGAATTCATTGCTTGGTAGCATTTGCAAAAAATAATCTTCCAAGAAAGACTTCCTTTAACATTCTCTGTAGAACAAGTTTTGTAGTAATGAACTCTCTCAGCTTTTGTTTTTCTGGAAAGTCTTAATTTCTCTATCACTTTTGAAGGATAGTTTCTGGATAGAGAATTCTCATTTTAAGTTTTTTGTTTTTTTGGTTTTTGTTTTTTCCCCAGCATGTATTAAATATATCATCCCACTGCTTTCTGGTCTGCAAGAGTGCTGCTGAGAAACTGGAGAATAATCTATTAAGGATCATTTGTCTATGATGAGTTGCTTCACTCTTGTTGACTTCAAGATTCCCTTTGACTTTGGCTTTTGACAGTTTGATTATGTGTCTTGATGTGAATCTCTTTTGGTTATCCTAAAGTACGTTGAGCTTCTTGGATTTGTATATTCATGTATTTCATGAAATTCAGGATGTTTTCAGCCGTTATTTCCTCAAATAAGTCTCTGCTACTTTCTTTCTCTTCTGGAATTCCCATAATTTATATACAGACATATTCTTTTTGCTTGTTTATTGCACTTCACTTTATTTTGCTTCGCAGATACTGCACTTTTTATAAATCAAAGGTTTGTGGCAACCCTGCATTGAGCAAGTCTATTGGCACCATTTTCCTAATAGTATTTACACACCTCGTGTCTCTGTCACATTTTGATGATTCTCACACTTTTGGTAATTCAAACTTTTTCATTATTATTATATTTGTTATGATTATCTGCAATCAGTAATCTGTGATGTTACTGTTTGTGAGTTTTGACGTGCCACACCACACGTGTGTGTTCTGACTACAGATAAGGTAGAAACAGCAAGAGAACTAGAATTAGAAGTAGAACCTGAAGATGTGACTGCATCGCTGCAATCTCATAATAAAACTTTAGCAAATGAGGGGGTGCTTCTCATGGCCGCTCAAAGAAAATGGTTTCTTGGGATGGAATCTATTCCTGGTGAGATGCCGTGAAGACTGTTAAAATGACAACAAAAGCTTTAGAATTTTACACCAATTTATTTGGCAAAGCAGTGGCAGGACTTGAGGGGAATGACTCCAATTTTGGAAAAAGTTCTGATGTGAGCAAAATGCTATTAAACAACATTGTGTGCCACAGAGAAATCATTCATGAAGAGTCCATTAATGGCTAACTTCATTGTTGCTTGATTTTTTTTTTAAATTAAAAAAAATTTTTTTTTCAACGTTTATTTATTTTTGGGACAGAGAGAGACAGAGCATGAACGGGGGAGGGGCAGAGAGAGAGGGAGACACAGAATCGGAAACAGGCTCCAGGCTCTGAGCCATCAGCCCAGAGCCTGACGCGGGGCTCGAACTCCTGGACCGCGAGATCGTGACCTGGCTGAAGTCGGACGCTTAACCGACTGAGCCACCCAGGCGCCCCACCGATATTGGTCTTCTTGATGGCATCCCGTAAGTTCCTTAGATTCAGTTCGCTTTCTTTATCTTTTTCTTCTGCACCCCAGACTTGAGAATTTCAGATGTCCTATTTTCAAATTCCGTTGTGTTTTTTTTCTCTCTTGCTTGTCCATCTCTGCTGTTGCAACCCACTGGTGGAATTTCCACTTCAGTTATTGCACTTTTTCACTTTAGCAATTCTGTTTATTTCCCTTTTATAAGTCTTATATCTTTGTCGATATTCTCATCATTTTTATATATTATGTTCCTGATTTCCTTTAGTTCTTTGTCCATGTTTTCCCCTAGCTTTTTGAGCATATTTTAAAAAGTTGTTTTAGGGGGCACTTGGGTAGCTCAGTCGATTAAGCATCTGACTCTTGATATAGGCTCAGGTCATGATCTCATCATTGTTCATGGGATCGAGCCACCTGTCAGACTCTGCACTGACAGCAGCGTCCCTCCTGCTCACACATGCTCTTCTCTAAATAAATAAATAAATAAGTTGTTTTAGTCATTGTTTGGTAAGTCCATGGTCAGCTTTCTTGGGAACAGATTCTGTTAAATTAAAGGAACTTGTCCCTTCAATAAGCCGTATTTTCCTGGGTTTGTTGTTGTCGTCCTCATTGAAAATTGGGCGTTACGTTATTATAACATGGTGATTCTGGAAATCAGATTTCTCCCTTTCCCTGGAGCTTGCTTTTTTTGATTATTAGAAACTGTGATCGCCACATTTGTTTTGTGACTTTTCCAGACTATTTTTGCAAAGTCTATTCCTTGCCGTATGTGTTCATTGAAGTCTCTGTTACTTTAGTTTGTGTTGAGCTAACACAGTTTGATAGAGATTTTCTTGAATACCAAGAGCTCAAAGAGACAAAAACACCGAGATAGAGATAGAGATAAAGAGATGATAGAGAAAGAGAGAGATAGAGATAAAGATAGAGATAGAGATGGAGATAGAAATAGAGGTAGAGCTAGAAGTACCTGTGGGGGGTGGGGGGTTGAGGGGGCATTCCCCGCTCACGGCCTTGGCAGATGGGCTCTATGCAGGGTTACCGTTCCCTCGGTTAGTCTTGCTCTGAACCTAGGGTTCAGCTTAGGTGAAAGTTAAAGTCTTCTCAGACTTTTGTGAGCATACGTCTTACCTGGGTAGGCATGGGGCTTTCTAGATTCCCTTATAGAAATAACTGCTTTTGAATCTCTTGGTTTCCCAGAGAGTCTTACCCCACTCTGTCCTCCAGGCCTTAGATGGTCCCTTGTATGTCTCCGGTGGGAATCTGTTACGTCAGGTGTGTACAGGTGGGTTTTCCCTGGTTGCTTTTATGAGCAAAGCCTGAAGCTCTTCTGGCCTGTGTTCTGAGTTAGGCGAGAAAGAGAGAGCAAGTCAGTCCTTCAGGAATCCCCCAGCCGAGTTAGAACAGATGTACACAGTAATTTGCAGATAAGGTCTGCTCTCTCCCTCTGATTTAAAGAGTAGAACTGGGACCTGAATTTGCCACCACTTGAATCTAAGGCTGTTGCCATTTGGGCAAGGGTTTTTTGAGTGTTTTTTCCCCCATGATTGTACGGAAGAATATGAGCTTGGAGCTTCGGAGTCCAACATCTCCCTGATGTCCATCCCATCACTATAATTTTCTGCCGATTTACTGCATGCCAAAACTGCACTGAGAAGGTTATCTTCTCTCTGCCCTGCCGATACACCCCCCACCTTTCCCTGTCCTAGTCTGTGTCCGGCAGGCTGATCTGCACAAACCGTATCAATGAGCTCCCAGCCCCAGTGGGAGGAAAGGGAGGCGATGCATTTAATTCCCTTTCTGCAGTGGACACAATTTGGCCACATCTTTCCATCCAGTGTCACAGCTCTCTTCCAGTGACCCTCTCCCAATAAAAACCAACCCTGAGATCTGTAACTGGCACATTTCTCTTCAGACCTGGGCGTGATGAAGTGCTTACCAGTCGCCATCACCTTCTGCTCTCGTAGTCCCAAGGTCCTTCACCATCCCTTGTGTGTGTCCCTAGATCGTTCCACACCTTTGTAACTTATTCTTTTATGAACATTCCTCACTTACTCAGTTTGGGAGTGCCATCTGTTTCCTGCTGGAACTCCAAGGGACACACTGCACCATTGGCTGCTATTTCTCTTTTAGAGAAATGCTTCTGATTTTGGAGAAATGTGCTCAGATACCAGCAGATTCTGGAAGGTACTTTGGGTCAAAAGATAAGAATTCACTTTCCTGAACAAATGTGTAATATTCAGGAGAACGATACTCAGCTTGGGGTTCAGAAAATGTGTCTTATTAAACACACAGCCTTGGTCCTGTAATCTGAGATGTGAAAACAAACTTATGGTCCCATTTCTACAAGGCAAGGGCCCTAAAAGAAGACCGTCCTCCTTTGTGGGTGGGCGAAGCCATCTGCTGTCACGGAATCCTGTCCCAGGAGCCAGATCGCCTCACCTTCCCCCAAACTGACAAGTGCCAAGCTGGAAGTGCGAAGGGAGATATCGATTGTCTCCTGTGTCTAGAAAAGAGCTACGTATGAGGCAAGATCAATTACATTAATTGCTTCTTCTCTGACTCATTCTCCTCACTGTTGACAGGCCTTTCTTAAGCACAGACCCAGTGAAGCCATTTTCTCTGCCAAAGGCTCCAGTGGGTCTTGGACCACGGGACAAAGAATGACAAATGCTCAGCATGTGGGTGGCCGCTCCCACTCCTGGCTTGCAGGGCACACTTGTTCAATAAAGCTGCTTTCAGCAGGGGAAACTTTCCAGCGTGGCTCTCCAGGTAGCCAATACTTAGGCTGCTTTTCATTTCTAAGGTAGATGTATTGCCCCGCCTTGTCCTGGAAGATAAAATATATTCTAAATTCAGAAGCACAGCACTGCACAAGCTGGCCCCAGTCTTCCATTCTAGAGCCTTAACATTTTCCCTCTTACCCTTTTGGGCCAAACCATTAGCCTATTTTGCACTGTTCATAGCATATATGGGGTGTTGGAAATATCTGTCTGTCTAATATTGATACGGTCCTATAAATTGAGTTTTTCTTTAAACACACAAACATACACACAGAATTCAAGTCTGAGCCAAATACATTTAGAATATTGCAATAGCACCAGATAATGCTACAAAAATTAGTTTGTAGCATTTGCCCATACATTTATTTATGTATCTTTAAAGCGTGGAAAAAGCTTATTAGATGAAAAATTGGGAAATACATTCCTTATGGAGCAAAAGCAACATGTGCCAGCCCAGTGTGCTTGTCACTGACTCTTTCAGGCAGGTGGCCTGATGGCCTTGGCCTCCTCCCTGTAGAGCGGTCAACACGTTCACACGTGAGGTCAAATCTTTTCTTAGCTGTACTTCAGCCGTCCAGACTGGAGCTCATTGTTTCTGAGACAAGCCCCAAAGCAACTAACAAATTCCTGCTGTTCTCCCAAGTTGTCTCAATTTTACCTCTCCTGGGAAAAGCCGATGACATCATTTATCTGCTGACTTTTTTAAGGCGTGAGCTTATTTAACACCCATTTACTGAATTCACATTAGAATTTCAGCTTCAGTTTCTTAAATAGAAGAGGAAAACAAAAACAGGATCTTTACAATTGGAGTTAAAATTTTTATTTGTGTTAAGCATAAGAGACTCTTAAAAACTGAGAACAAACTGAGGGTTGATGGGGGGGTGGGAGGGAGGGGAGGGTGGGTAATGGGTATGGAGGAGGGCACCTTTTGGGATGAGCACTGGGTGTTGTATGGAAACCAATTTGACAATAAATTTCATATATTGAAAAATAAAATAAATAAATAAAAAAGCACCTACAAAAAAATTTTTTTTATTTGTGTTTACAGAAAAAAAAATCAATTCTAAAGATAGACAATGATGAGCAACTACTTATCCGTGCGATGGAGATCATGGCAGGTGGATGTTCAAATGATTTTCATGCTACCATTGTTCACTGGGAGACAGTGCTGTGTGTCAGGACCAGGCTGAAAGCTGGGGAAGAGGCAGAGGTCAGAGGAGGCCACGGCACATCCTCTCAGAGCACACAGGCCTGTGGGGACAGGCGACATGCGCACAAATTGCTGTCACCCGATTAATTTTAAACTTTACTCTTTAGATAATATTTTCAAGCTCCCTTTAGTGAGCACTTAGTGTGCGATGGGCAGTCATTGTTTTACCTATGTCACTCAATTCTCATGGCAATTCTATAGTGTAGGTATTATTCTTTCCACTTCAGAGGTGATGAAAACTAAGCTCATAAAATCTGGAAAATGTGAAGTTCAATTAGCTAATAAACCCATGCCGATAAGGAGCCAGAAATTAATGATTAAAGTTATATATTTTTTTGACAAACTCTGAAAATGTTGAAACGTAGGAACACAGCCAAGGTTACAAATGATCCTAAAACCAAATTGTCAGCTCCTGGATAATTCGAGATATTCCAAATATGTGGTCGTCGGTAGTTGACAACCCAAAAGATATCTATCTATATCTATATCTATCTATCTATCTATCTATATATATATATATTTTTTTTTTGGTTCAGAGTAATGTCTTTACCCAAATCTTTTTTAAACAAATAAACCCCCTGGAAAATATTTTCGAAGTCTTTTTTTAAGGCAGCAAAAATAAATTTAGACGCGGCAAAAAATCATTGTCAATTTTGATCTCGGCAGAAGATTTATCTTCACAAATAACCCAGGGTGGTATGTGGATGTGTGGCCAAAAGTGATAAGATTATAAAATATCAGCGAGAAACAGTCACAATAGTGGAGTCTGGGAGTGCAGATATTTTAGATTTGGCATATTTGGAATAGCTTTATTGTTATTATTGTTGTAACATATTCTGAAAGTGGAAACAGTGGGCGAGGACAGGATAATCCCATCGCTATGATGGCCTTTGGTTTCTCCATCACTTCCACGATGGGCACAAACTGTTTTCCAGTTACTTGCATTAAGACATTACAACTGTTAGAGTTTGGAGAAATACGCCTCTCTTTCCGCGAAACTTCTCTGGGTGCCATAGAATGGGTTTTCTTGAGATCCTTTCACATACTAGGGACTGGGGTTAGCTACGGAGTGGCACAGGGCTTGAGTCTTATACACGGTCTCGTTTGCATAGAGGCCAGAAGTGAGTAGAGTCGAAAAGAACTGGTGAACAAAACCTGAACTGGCTTCCAGTGGCTCCCTGCAGAGGCGCCCTGCACAAATGCCAAAAAGCAGAGTGGAGTCCAACTAGAAGATGGCCCGAGAGTTCCATGATTTTCTTCCATCAAGGAAACGGCAATAAAACTGGAAGCCACGGGCCAGAAGGCCCTGCAAAATGTCTGGGGAAAAGCAGATAATGAGGGGAACTTGACTTGCACATATTAATTCAATCAGCAGAAACTGGAGGTTTTAGTCCAGGGTTCCAGACCTATCGGAAAGAGCAATCTCTGTGAGCAGGTGTGTGCCTGTGCTTGTGAGCCTGGAGGGGCGGTGGGGGGGCGGGCGGAGGGGGGATGAATCTGGAAGGCGGGGACAGGGGTTCCAGTTTCTCCAGTGGCATAATGTAGTGTGTAAGCAAACTTGCTCCAGAAGTGGGCGTTGCAGATGCAAATACAAAAACTCTTAAACCAAGGGGGTGGGAGGGAGGGAAGCAATTGGTAGTTGTAATCTTGAAACAGGATTTATTTAACAGGATTTACCCAGTTTGTGTATGTATATATGTGGCCCATAGTGCAAAGAGACTAGAACATCAACTGGAAGCAAATTCAAAAATTCGAGTTCTACCACCAGCTGCGTGGCCAGGAGCATTTTGCTTCACTTTTGTCAGCCTCAGTTTCCTCATCTGTAAAACAGAGATAGTCAACAAATCTAGTTTAGGGGCGCCTGGTGGCTCAGTCGGCTAAATGTCTGGCTCTTGGTTTTGGCCCAGGTTGATCTCTTGGTTTCGTGAGTTCAAGCCCGGGGTCAGTCTCTGCGTTGACAGCACAGAGCCTGCTTGGGATTTTCTCTCTCTTTGCCCCTCCCCTCCTCGCGCTGCTCTCAGTCTCTCTCAAAATAAATAAACTTAAAAAAAAAAAAAAAAAAGAATCCAGTTATAGATTTCTCGTAAGGACTGGAAGGACTGGAAGAAGGGATCAACATTGCCCGGTACTTGGTATTTCATCTCACTATATATTATAATGATCATCAAAGATCTACTTTGCGTATTTAAATAATAAAACTTGCCCTTAACTGTACATGATTTGCCAAAAAGTCATTGTCTCTCTGTCTTTTTCTCCATTCCCTCCCTAGCTATTTCCTGGCATTGAAGAATTTACGTGGAAAGTCAAGAGCGTCTCATTTCCTGGAACTAAAGTGAGTACGTCCCCTACTAGGTTCCTGCTCACACAGTCTCAGAAGACCCTCTCCCGAAATCCCACCAGACCTTCTCCCAGGATGACCTAAATGCAGACGGTCAGCTGGTACTCCAGGTTCCAATCAGGGAAAACAACCGTACAACCTTCTACGGTAGCTTCTAGAAGGCAGCCAGTGTCCTTATGAGCTTCTCTTTTCACGGCGCCTAGAACCCAGCTCTCGTGGCGAGTGTGAGTGTGGGTGAAGAGGGCCGGCAGCCGGGGAGGAAGGCGGGCTGGTGACAGCATTCTTCACCCGTGTGGTCAGAGTTCTTCCTGATCTGTGCAATCGCTTCTTGATGTTCCAGACACAGGCCAGGAAGGCAAAAAGGAAGTGCAAGACACCATCGCACCTAGATTCCAGAAAGCTTTCGTTCCTTTTGGATCAACTTGAGAGGATGCGCTAATAAACAGGGTTTCCAGAGATCCTGGGAAGCAGCCCGGAGACCGGAGCCGGGGCACCTGGCGGGAGCTTCAGCGCGCCTTCCTCCCTGGAACAGCACTGTCACTTGGCACCGTTGTCCTGGCAAGTCAGCCCCGTTCACAGTCCCTCTGATTGGTCAGCCCTGTCCTTCCAGATACGCCTTTCTGACATCTTGCCTCCACGGTGCTGCCTTGCCAGAGGGGGGGTTCTCACCTGGGCCGTCACAGGCTCCAGCCTTCAATCAGGATGCTCCCCAGGTATTTCCAAATCACCAGGAGGAACGTGGGCTGTGCTCCAGGCTGATTCCTCCCACCCTCCCTCCCGTTCTTTCCTCTCTCCCTTCCTGTCTTCTTTCCTTTCCTCTGTCCTTTCTACCTTCCTGCCCCTTATTTATTGACTTGCTGCTATATGCGGGGCACTAAGAGTTTGTTAATCACCTGGGGGTTAGGCTGAGCTCTTAGATTTGAAGATGAGGGAAACAGTGTTGAAAGCACCTAAAGGAGAAGAAAATTTATGGGGTGTGTGTTGCATAAATGCCCTTCGCTAATCAGAAAGATTGTGAAATGATTTGGACTTGAATAAGTCGACGAAGGGGGCAGAGGGGCAAACGGCAAAGCTCGGAGACAGTAGGTGCAGAAAGAGTGATAGCGCAAAACTGAATCCGCAGTGCATATCAAATGAATTTGTGCAGTGCTCCTCCTATTCATCCCGACCTGGGCCGGCGGCAAGGGGAACAGAGAGAAAAGTGGAAAAGATGCTCTGGGGAGGCGTCTTGCTTCGGAGCTGCTGACCGATACACTACGTGTGGATTCCCCGGGGATTTCCAGGCGGGTGGCTGTGGAACAGGCAGAGGTTTAGTGGTTTCCCAGGAAGGAATAAATTTCCTGCAGTGAATCACCCTGTGTCAAGGAGGATTTTTGTGACATCAGCTCCAAGCAGATCATCGAGGCTTTCCCACTCAAGAGGGCATTGGAGCATAACACCACCATGGCCCACACTTTATTTTTTCTTTCTTGTATTTTCCAAAGGGCCATTTGGACCAAAAGTGGCCTGTGGCCCCTGGAAACTCTGAGTAATGGCTTGGCATCTTAGGAATCTGTGTGTCGTACTTTCTGGAAGAGTCTGGAAAGGTCTAGTTCTGTCTGGAAAACAAAACTCATGGTTGTTAACGTGAAAGTGTAACCCTGCTTCTTCCTTTTCTTCTAGTAAATGCTGCAAACTTGAAATAAAATGAATTAGACCCTTTGGATATCCAGACATATCTCTTAAAATCACTTTGCTTCTAGTGATCTAATTATATCAACTTTGGATTTTGGATGCACAGTTGCAACGCTTTGCAAGTATTTTCAAATCCTCAATATTTTCCTTTTTTATTCCCACTTTTATTTTTTTCAGTGAAGGCTAACGTCTTCCAGCCGCAGGCTTGTGGGCCCAAGTTCATCTCCGTGACTGACCCCATAATATTTACTTACATCGTTCACAAAAATACCCTGCATGCCAAAAGCCGCTAGCTGCAGGAAAATGATAAAAATATAAAAATATTTAATCAGCCAGTGGGAATTCCCTTCCGCATTAATCAAAGGCTCTCTCAGAGGGCTCGCTGTGACCTTGGAAGGCCAGCAGCCCCAAGCCACACTGAAGGATACCAGCAGGAGGGAATGCCTGCTGGGAATCCACTCATCGGGGGCCCTTCATGTCTTCTGGAAAACACAGCCCGAAAAGAGGTTTTGGCTTCACTGTCAAGGAGCTCAGTGGCAGGTGTGTTGAGGCACCGTGTGGCTTTTCCATCGGGGTTTTTGTACCGTGTCGTGTCTCCTCCAGGGCCATCCCACCTGTGACACCTAGCCTGTTCCTCTCTCTCCCTACCTGCGGGGCTCAATCTGTTTCTCTCAAAGGGGCACTTTGAAGGCTTTCTTTTTCCCTTTCGATTTTTTTCTAGCTTTACTGAGACAGAGTCGGCGTATAACACTGTGTAAGTATAAGGAGTGCCATGCGATGATGTGATACACATACGTGTTGTGGAATGTTTACCACAATCAGGTTACGTTAACACACACTTCAGCTCAAGTATGTGGAGGGTTTTTTACTTTTGTTAAGTTTATTTATGTTGAGAGAGAGCGCGCAGGGGAGGGGCAGAGAGTGAGGGGGAGAGAGAGTGAGTCGCAAACGGGCTTCGTGCTGTCAGTGTGGAACCCGGTTGAGGCTCCGACTCCTGACCTGCCAGATCGTGGCCTGAGTCGAAACCAAGAGCGGGACGCTTCACCGACTGAGCCACCCAGGCGCCCCTGTGCAGGTTTTCTAGGAAAGCGTTGCGAGGCAAGTGGCCCGGGAAATGACGACGTGGTGGGGAAAACACCCCCCGGGGGGGGGGGGGGGGCGGGGCGGGGAGGAGTTCTGGATCCAGCCCTGGTTCCGCTGCTACGTGTCTGGACCAAGTCATCGCACATCTCTGGGAGTCAGACGCGTCGGGGGTTTTCGGCTCCAGGTGTTCCAGAAAGTACCCCAAAGTTAGAGGGCGTGGGACTTGAGGCAGCTGGGCTCCTAGGCCCCTCCCGTATTCCCGTGCCAATCAACTCTGCCTTCTCAGTTTTATATTTGGGATTCTACATGCTGTTTAATTCACAAAAATATCCGTATTAAAAACGAAAGTTCAAAAACCAGCGGACCAGAAAGACTTTCCTATTCGGTATGCGTGTAATTTGGGGCTCAGTAGTTCAGCCCCAAAGTTCCCTCTCCTTGGCGTTTCCTCCTAGAAGCTGGTCATAACTGGTTAGTTACAGCTGGTACCCAGTAGACAGCCCGCCAGAGGGTCCACCTGGGAGGTGAGGTTGGGCCGATCGGTTCCAGGATGGTGCAGATCCACAAGCTGCAAGCCGAGCCAGATGGCACAATGCCTTTCTCCGCTTTGGGGTGATTTTCTACAAGAATGGTACCGACGCAGTGTGCCGTGTTTCGACCGCTTGCTAAAGTGTTTTTTTTTAAACTTGGAACTGGTCAAACTGTTCAGAAACTCAGAACAATCAGAAGTGGTAAGTCCACTTACGCCCTCGCAGTTAAAAAGTAAATAGATTGTTATTTATGTCACCAATTATAACATGATCGTTCACGATGCCCAGGCTAAAGGTCCAAAATGTGACTGTCGGGTTTTAGGAAGCAGGGTTGCTCAGCTTAGTGTCTTCTTGGATCTGTATGTTATTTTTTCCTGATGCCTAGGGAAGCCCACCGTCCAGGCACCTCACTGCCACCTGTGCGTTTGCCTTCAAAATAAACCGCATGGCTATGACTTTGCCCGTCATCAACCGTCTTAGTCCCTTCAAACTGTTGTGAAAATCCTAATTTTCTCCATGAGGCTCCCACGGATTGCTTAGATGAGGACCCAAGGACATTCGTGTTATTCTACATGCACTTCTATAATACTTACCCTTGCAAATTCCACCAGATTGCAATCGCCTCTAACATGCATGGAATCTAAAGGCTTTTTAAAATTGCACTTTATTTTTAGATGAGTTTTAGATTAACAGAAAAGTGGAGAAGATTGTGCAGAGAACACCCATCCCAGATTGGGTTTTGCGGTGAGAATTTCTATATTCCTTCTAGGCCAGTGTGTCCCTTACTTAAGTAGATGTGGGTGTGCCATTCATTTGCACAGACGTTGCAGAGAGTGACTTACTTTTAAAACATCAGCTCCAGGGGCACCTGGGTGGCTTACTTGGTTAAACGTCTTAGTTTCAACTCAGCTCATGATCTCACAGTTTCCTGGGTTCAAGCCCCACGCTGGGCTCCACACTGACAGCACAGAGCCTGCTTGGGATCTCTCTCTCTGTCTCTGTCTCTCTCTCTCTCTCTCTCTGTCTCTCTCTGCCCTTCCCACACTCGTGCTGTCTCTGTCTCTCTCAAAATAAGTAAATAAGCTTTAAAAATTTTTAATAAAAAAATAAAGATAAAACACTAGCTCCAAAAAATGATGAGATTCTCTTTTAATGATGCCTCGTTTTTCATTAACAACCAGAGAGCTCTTAATGATTTTTCTGCTGCTGTTGACTACCATATTTCTGCTTTTAAAGATACTCTTAAGGTAATGAGACAGCGATTTCATTTACTGCTCATCTGAAGAATTCTTTCTTTCCTACATTTCTCTTCCTCCTTCAATATCAAGACATTCACATGGCCTTCCTTGGCCAGTTTCTTCTCCTATTTATCTATTTCTGGGCACTGTGTTTAAAAAGATCCTGCTGCTACCACGGCATGTGTATTATCAATTCTCGTAGGGGCCTAATATTTTTCCAAGTAATTCTCTCTTCTTAACACACCCTGGCATTTTATTGGAACAAATGATTTACGCAGACACACTCATTTATGTGTCTGCTACGATACCTCCATGTGTCCCCAAGTTGGAAAGCAATGCAGAAACAATCCGCCTGTTTGTTTAATTCCAAGAGGCATAATTTGAAAATTCTGAGGTGTATGTTAATTTTAATTCTGCACCAGAATGCATAATTTCACCTGTTTTGTTAAGCGTTTCCATAGATTTTAATTTTTCATTTCAAGGTCACATTTTAAACGAAAGTGCAGAGGAGTGGTTTTACCTGTTCCCTAGTTTTATGTGTTAGTTTTAAGATGAGTATTTTTTAGAGTGGCCAAAAAATAACAAAGCATGATAAATAAGCAACTCTCTTTTCCTTTGATGATTTTTTGTTTGCTATTGTAATTGTAGAAGTGTGATTTAAGGGAAAAAAAGAAAAATAGCTCAGCTAGCACTGTGACTGCACATGTGACTGAAGCATTTGAGAAAAATGCTTCCTTTCAGAATGAGAGGTGACCTAAAGGACAAAGGTCATCAAAGAACCCACGAAAGGGGGTGGATAACACTGGTTAGGTGATATTTGATTCTTTATTGCAGTCCCCATCAACATTATGCTGCAAAGATGTAAGAATTGGAGGGGCACTGATAGGAAATAGTAACTCAGTGCATCCTGAAATGGATTGACTCACTTGGAAATATGAGTCTACAACGAATCGATTGCGGGGCATTGAATGAATTGAAGCAACGTGGCCAGGTTGCAGAGAACATGAGCACCTGTCTTCAAAGCCATGTATGTCTAGACACTGACTTAGAATTATAAGTAAAAGAATCCAGCACCACCTGATAGAATTAATATCCATGACATTAAAGTTATATGAACTGAAGTATCAAGTACATATCTGCTTGTTCACTGCCATCCTCTCATTCATTCACTCGATGAACTAATGTTCATTGGGCACTTACTGCATGCCAAGAACTGTCCTAGGCACTGGACTACGGCAGTGAACCAAAGACCAAAAGTTGATTAGATCATGAGCCGTATTCAAACGGAAAATATTTACTTTAAGAAAACCAAACAAGGGACGCCTGGGTGGCTCAGTCGGTTAAGCATCCAACTTCAGCTCTCGTCATGATCTCACGGTTCATGAGTTCGAGCCCTGCATTGGGCTCTGTGCTGACGGCTCAGAGCCTGGAGCCTGGTTCAGATTCTGAGTCTCCCTCTCTCTCTGCCCCTCCCCGCTCGCGCTCTGTCTTTCTCTCTCTCAAAAATAAATAAACATTAAACTTATTTTAACCAAAACATAGAAAGAAAAGAAAACCCAATAAGATGGAACAAAAGACCAGGGACAAAAGCTCTGAGAGCTAGAGAATGCCATAAAAAGTCTGGGTTGGTCTTCTATGAAGAAAATTCTCTGAGCTAGGTGAGAAGTATTTCTTACTCTAGGAGTCCAGGAACCATATGAAAAATATATATGAATGTGTGTGTGTTTGTGTAATATATATATATATATATATATATATATATATATATATATATAAAATATGCCTGCCCCCCTCTCACTCCACACCAAAGATATCCAAATTCTAATCCTTACAACTTAGAATGTAACCTGATATGGCAAAAATGGATTTTGCAGATGTGACCTAAATTCCGATTTTGAGATGGGGAGATTGACCTGGATTATCCAGGGGGGGCCCTAAATGCAATCATAGATCTCCTTGCAGGAGAGAGGCAGGAGAAGACTAGACCACAGAGGTAGGGACTGGCCACAAAGCCGTAATGCTGGACGTCAGACACTAGAAGAGGCAAGGAACAGATTCTTCTCTAGAGCTCCGAGAGGGAGCATGGCAGCTTGATTTCAACCTCCTGAAACTGATTTGAGGCTTCTGGCTTCCAGAACTGTGTGAGGATAGATGTGGGAATTTGTTAATAAGTATGTGTTAGC